ATATGATTTTACCATTCATGTTATTTACAAATGAAAAAGATGAACAGAATAATATTATTATAAATCAAAGGTATTTATTTTAATTAAAGACATTTTAGATTTTATTTCACCGGTAGGGACGAATAGCGTTCAGATCAGACAAAGACTGATTCATCAAACCTTGACCACGGGTCAAAGCTTGTTTATACATCTGGTATTTTATATTTAAAATCATAATGGATCAGATTTAAGAGAATTATCTATTTAACCTCCTCTTGACCACTGTGAGGTCGTTCGGGCCAATGAAATATCTACGATCACAGCACGTCTATAATACAATAAACACGTGACAAAGCTATTAAATGTGACCACTGACCATTAAATCTGCAAACTTGCATACTATATTGAAATACCATGTAGAGAGCAAGAAAAGATGACTTTTACAGCTTTCTGTTTGGTGTTTAGATGTTTTTAATCCTTAATTCGAGGAAGATTTAAGATACTTCAAGGTTATCAAATGGATATCTGCTATTCATTCTACGGTGACAATATAAATAACGTCAATGAGACAGCAAACCAACGACACAAAACCAAAGTACATCTATAGATCACCATACGGTTTAGTAGAAAGTAAAATAACAAAAATACCGAACTCCAAGTGTAGTGTATATCTAACAATGTACACGAATCTTTAATCATTTAGGTGTCATATAAAAATCAGTTGATTTGAGTATAAGGACAACTAACCATCAGATTGATTGACTGATTGATTGATTGGTGTTAAAGTGCCTCTTTCAGCACTATTTCATGGCGGTCAGTTTTCATTGGTGGAGAAAGCCGGAGTGCCCGGAAAGAACCACCGACCTTCGGTAGGAAAACTAACATTACTAGTCGAGTTACTAGTCAATTCATTGGAGTAGAGCGCACCTGCCACGTGCTGGATTCGAACCCATAGCCTCAGTGTTGACATGTTAATGATACAGTAGTTCGACTACTTAGACCACTCGGCCACCGAGGCCCTACTAACCACCAGAACAAAGGCTACTGATTATACAATACATACATTACATGTTCCTCACTATGTATGTGTAAAGAATTTTGACAAGTAAATACTACGCCGATGAGCACTACAATTAATTTATAAATTTCAGGTGAATAAGCATTTTTTTTAATTTCAATATTACTTCTCATCGAAATGCAAAAAAGGTAACATACATTTGTTTTATATGTATTTTATTGTTTTATTCAATCCACATTGATGTGCATGTACGCCTTTAAATTTCATTTTATTGAATTGAGTTTTAACAATCAATCATCCCTCCTACTCCATAACAATTTTCGTTGCGGCTTTTAATAGCCCTAAAAGTCATACTTAAATATATTGCTCAGCTCATCACGTCAGAGTATTACATCATTACGACTGAATGAGATATTGGTAAGAAAAATATGTTACTAAAACAAATTTAAGATAAAAGATGAAGTCGCAATCGAAAAAAAAAATTTTTACGAAGAAAAAGACATTGACTCAAAGATAATCTTTTCAATAGTTATTATATATATTGAGCAAACAAAAATCAATCTGTTTCTTATATTGTCTCCGTTGTCTTCATATTATCCAAACGGGGAACGAGACTCATAGTGAAAAAACCCGGATTAATACTTTAAATTAGACAGTATATACTATGTATGATTATACTGGAGACAGATTTTGGTATTGTACATGGAAACTGACTTTGGTGGTTTAAAAACAAAACGGAGACGAAATATGACGAATTGCGAGCATCAAAACATTTTGAAACGTACTCGTATAAAAGCTTGGTTTGCTTTCAGAAAGGGAAACAAAAGGACATAAAATTCCTTTCCTCAACCAAACACATTATCTCCGGTTCGGAACACACTCACATGTATACAATCATCAACAATAGTTTCCTTAACAAAACAATATCTCTTGTTCGGAGTACACTTACAGGTTACATTTGACAAAGTACTTTCCGAATGATCCCGGGGCTTTATGCTACTGGTGGTAGACGGATAAGACAGGGACATGATATTGTATATGTGTATCATGTCTACATATTTTTCTTATCTAGTGAAGTGTATATAACTTGCATACCAATAATATTGATTCAATGATTATTCAACACATTACATCATAATTATTTCTCACGTAAGTTCATTGATGACTGTACATTCCTCCTAATTAATAATATTGTTTATTTAATATCTTCCTTGCATTGCACTCCCATCTGTGATCTATCTTTATTAAACATATAAACAAGTGCGGATACATTCTTTTTGATGCAGAAAATGATTTGGGATTAAAACATACAATGGGCTAATGAAAAGTTCGTTAACACCAGATACAAATTCATAAGCTCTCAAATATGCCAATTTAACAATAATAAATATTTAATAAAAGTACAATTTATTACTTCTGTGAATAAATTCCTAGATCTGGACGTGGGATTTATCGGCATAGTATTAATTAAATTGATTACAACTGTATTGCTGAAAGGTATACATTATATCTTGGTAAAGGATCTCATACTAGAAAATACATAAAATATACATTTAGTAGCTGGTCTCTATAAACAATCACGAGCAGATATAACTATACCGATCATCAATGTTCATATTGTATTTCAATTCTTTCTTTGAACCGACATTTCAAATTTGTAAGTTTTGGGTAAATTAATAAACAATTGATTGATTGATTTTTGCTTCAAGTCCAGTTGCAAATATTACATGCATATTTAGGACAAGAACAATTTTACAACATATCCAATTGGTTATTATGGAAAATAGGTCGACCGGGATTAAAGGAGAGATTTCGACTGCCACTGGAAAATTGAGGTAAGATGAATAGGAGCAGAAATTGTCTTGCAACAGAGAACCTACAGATCCCTCAAAGAGTTGTTGCAATAGTTCTGTGACGTACAGATAGCCTTGAAATCAGCCAACACGAGGTTTCGGATTCAATGTCACAGCTCAAATCGAACGTGGCTGCGTTTTTATACATCCCACTCAGCCAATGGGATTCCCCTTTTTAGCGTGGTCTTTATTATCGAATGGGAGAAGTGGAAAGATTACTCTTGAATCCATACCCTCTAGTCAGTCCTTGTGAAAAAACATCTCCTTGTGAAAAAACATCGAAAACAAACAATAGAAACAAAGCTATATATCATCAAAGGAAAATGAATATATCTGTTTTAATGGCAGTAACCGTTTGTTACTGTATTATAATTTGAGAATATACAGGCTACAATGTACCTTAAAACTTTCTATCATTTGCATCTTATCTGTGAGGATATTATCTTTCAATCTCTAAAACTGTGTTAGTCTTTTACAGATTTTTAGTGTTTTAAAGAACTTTGGAAAATTTGCCTTGACATCAAATTATACAATAACCCAAGACATTTACAAGAAAAACAATAGTTAACTACAAAGTAATTTATCTCGTTTAACTTCTGAATAGGCCTCGAGTCTAGGAGGTTGTGGGATCGATCTTTGGCCAGTTCAAACCAAAGACTTTAAAATTTGTATTTGATGCCTCTCCGCTAAGCACAAGGCATTCAAGAGTAGGAGCAAACAGGTCGACTTTGAGTAAAAATAACGTGCCTGACATGCCTTCCTGATAACTGTTTCCTTGTGAACTAGCACGCTATAAATCCGAGTTCATATTGATATCTTATTTTAAAACATGTTCTTGTTCTGAACAAAACGTGATATATTTGCCACTGGACGTTCAACATTCATTAATTCATTAAAAAGCAATGTTTTGCGCCACGGTCATTTCATTCGAGGCATCAAAAACCGTATCCATCAATTCAGTGAAAAAAAATGCACATTTTCTTTGTTTGACTTGAATACTCCTTAATGAAATAGCAGTATGTATTAGAAAGTTAATCACTGTTATGAAATACATTTAAATAGAGGGGACATGTTTGTGAAATGACCATCCATTGAGCTAACATAAACAGACTGATTACCTAAAATAACACCGTTACTTAGTGCCCATGGAATATTGATATAAGTAAGTTCTCACGATTTGTGTAACATAAGTATAATAATTGTTAGTGTCCATCATGTGCTTGTTTGTTTTGTCTGAAGTAATACACATGTTCGTCATTATACGATATTTCTGTCTTACCTAGCAATTAATATAGAAGTTACTAATAATTTAATCAATATCCAATTAATTGACAACATATATAGTACAAAATTATAACTTCTTTTTGAATACCTTTAACATTATTCGTATACTAATATCACATCAATGCGCAATTATATATTTCCCTCGCTACCGCTCAAAAAATGTTCACTACTTCAATCAAAATGACAAAGGGGGGTTCTGATAAGAGATAGTATTTGGCCCCCGCAATTGCAAAAATATTGAAAGTATTTGATTAAGACTTTCAAAATAATGTTGATGTTATTGATAAATGAACCGCTTAATATAATCTGGACTTTAGTGCAGAGTTCACAATGAAATCAAAACATGTTAGAATTGATACATTTGACCAAAAATGGTAATTTTAAACATTTTTTGGGACAAAATAAATATACGAGCAACGGGTGTACCAAAACAGATATTTACATTGGTATGTTCATATGTTAAAAATATGAAAAAAAATAGTGGGTTAAACATTTACCTATATTTCAATATTAATTAATGACAAGATGACTTCAAAATGAGGCTATTGCGACCGTTTTTGCAGTTTTACACTTCTAATTTTTAAAAACAGCCATCAGAAACTTAAGAGATTTTCAAAAGTAGAACATTTCAATAAATATAGATACTCCACAGCAATTTCAAGAGCCGATGATATCATGTAATAGCTCGGATAATTGATTTCAACTTTATAGAAATCCACTCGCATGCATTTACAGTATTCACGCTATCAGTTATTTTTATTTTAAAATGTAGGTCTATATTTTCCACAATAAAATAACAAGAGTCCAATTTGTAAATCCATAGCAATTACACAAAGAAAAAGTATTTTAAAATAACATGACCTTACCTTGACTGGGAACTATAGACGTATCCTTCTGTTTCTTCACAATACAAACAAACATAGTCTCCAATGCATAAATATTCACCCATGCCGGGTTCCTCGTTATACCCATGTAGCTACAAAAACATTGAATTGAATTTATATTTGTCTTTCCAACTAATAAATCCTTTTAGAAAAAAATTATACACTTGTAGAAATATAATAAAATCCTGTAGAGTCAAGACAAGTCTAACTATCGCAATTCGTCAAATGGTGTTAATTTAGGGTGGCGTTGCGGTTTATTGCCAACTGTTTTACTTTCGGTTCACCAGCTTTACCTTTCCACTGCTGACGATTCTGTCTTTTACCTTACGCTATATGAGATAAGAACCATTCTTTTAATTATTGAGCCGATCTATCATCTGTGCTACCGCTAATTATGAACAACAACTATAACATATGTAGATTTCTGCATGAATGGATTTTAACTCTGTATTGTACCAGGCGCAAAAATAAAAATTATGATCACAAAAATAGATAAAATTATTTTATTGCCTCAGAATCCGATCATAAAACCAAGTTTCATTTAAAGTTCCAATTTCCTAATTTTCTCATCTCCCTGTAACACAAGTCTAATTATTTTTTCTCTGTAATTCTTAATTGCATAGCCAGCGTCAATGCATGGTAAAAATCTTTTATTTTCAGTTTTTTATGTTGGTAAAATCATCGTGATAATGTATTACATTTTGACAACTGGATAAGAGAGTTCAATTAATTGTTATTTGGTTGAATGTTTTCCAGCACTGGATGACAGGGATTATCAGATTTAACATTGAAATAACTTATTAGGTTTTTCTTTATTCTTGCTTATCACATGAATTGCACACATTGACATATTTAAATCAGATGTTATGAAGAAGATCCAGAACCCCTGCTTGCACACATTATTTTATTGACTGCAACTTCTACTTAATTAGACAATATTAGATGATTTCAGTCGGGAAAAATGGACTTGCCATTCTTCAGCATGCGAATGAAGCTTGCTTGCTATTAGTTATGAAAGGATAGACGTTTGAATGGTCAGTGACTTTCAATTGTGTACTATATAGGAAGACTGAGTCTGATTTTTAAGTGATAGCTCATGATCCCACCAGGAGACATTGTTTTGACACCTTATCGACCAGTTCTTAATTACTAGTATAAGGTCACATGATAAGCAGTGCATGAAGTATACAATATCAATTAAAGTTGTCGTTATGGCCAGGACTTGGCTGTGTGTGATTGGTTGTGGGTAGGTGTACATTTAACGTCTTGAATTTAGCCCAACAATGTTGGAACTGCCTTTTTGCATTTGCAAATTATATCGTTCCCTCGGCGGAATTCGAACTCAAGCTGTTGGGACACCAACGGAAATGCGACACCACATGCACTATGTCCAGTAGCCTAGATCACCCCTACTCAAAGGCTATACAAAAATAACAGTAAATGATGCAATCGTGATTAAATTCGAACACTATAATAGTAAATTTGTGGAATTTAGCTCGAAGCATTTAAAAAAAAACGCTAAATAGTGCACACATCCTGGGGTTTTATGTGAAAATATCTTTCACCAAAAAAGGGATGGTTTCCGCTTTTTGTAAAAAGACATTAAATATGCAAAATAATGTAATGTAAACGCCCGATAAATGGTCCCAATATTTCTTACTTAAAATAAAGCAATAATTAATATCTAAATAAATTCAAATGTATAATATTTTTGCTTTTTCCCCCAATCTTGTATTTGAAGTTTACAAGATATAAATGAATATACACCAACGAACAGTTTGCTTTCAAAACATTTTTATTTTTTAGTTTGTTTCATCTTTTAAAATTGAAAAGAGCAACTCTGTGAAGTTTGTTATCTGGCTTGTGTTGTTTTTTGTACATCTTGACGTATAACAAGTTATTTACATGAACGACTCAGGCACTTACCATAACAGTAAATTTCCCATAGCACGATTATGTTTTTTATCACTGGTAGCTTATATGTTATATCTGTTGTTGTTAAGATGTTTTTTTTTCTTCTTCTTAATATCCTAACTAAATTGAAATCCAGATGGTTAAGTTCGGTGAGCAGAAAAAAACATGATTAAGGTTAACCGGGTTATGATAACTAGAAACATATATAGGGTAATATATATGTCTCTTTTATAACAACATATCAATTGCATTAAAATCATAAAGGGGTAAAATCATTTTCAAATTTGTATTCACCTATATGTTTATTTAATGTACATGTTTTTGCTATAACGTTAGAGTAAATCACATTTCGATATAAACAAAGAGCATACCACACGCCAATACTGTTGGCATTGACAAAGGAATAAAAGGATACAGTAGTTCAGTGACGTAGACTCTGTATAGTGAGTTTTGAATCGCCGCCATTTTGATCATAATAATAATGATTTTATTTTACTGAAATATAAACCTCTATACAGAATTAGAAAAACTAGGAGATAAACCAATTACGAGCTTGATTTAAATCTCTTTAATTCAATAAAATAAGATATTGATAAAGTGAGACAAATGCTTTAAGGAGGGGGTATAAGTATACCATATGACTCCTCAAATTCCACAAATAGCAAATAGCAAATTTTCATTCCAATATTCTGTTCTTTTTATTGATAAAATCAGAGACATATTGTATTATATGTCTCTGATAAAATTGATGCATGAATTATAAACACCGATAACTTTTTTTTAAAGAATTGTCATTTGTGATATGTGATATCCCTGTAACGTGAAATTACGATTACAAGTAAAAAAAAATAGTTGACTACAAAGTAATTTATCTCGTTTAACTTCTGAATAGGCCTCGAGTCTAGAAGGTTGTGGGATCGATCTTCGGTCAGTTCAAACCAAAGACTTTAAAATTTGTATTTGATGCCTCTCCGCTAAGCACAAGGCATTCAAGAGTAGGAGCAAACAGTTCGACTTTGAGTAAAAATAACGTGCCTGACATGCCTTCCTGATAACTGTTTCCTTGTGAACTAGCACGCTATAAATCCGAGTTCATATTGATATCACATTTTAAAACATGTTCTTGTTCTGAACAAAACGTGATATATTTGCCACAAATTTGTGATATGTGATATGTGATATGTGATATCCCTGTAACGTGAAATTACGATCTTGCACATAACTTTGGACAAAAAAGATACAACTGAAGGCTTATAATTTATTACGCAAGACGCGCGTTTCGTACACGTTACACAAGACTCATCAGTGGAGCGAAAATTAAAAAGTTGGATGGCCAAATTAAACACAAAATTAAAGAGCATTGCAGGCCAAAAAATCTGAAAAATTTTGCATAATAAGACTAAGGCCATCTATGCTTGGGTAAAAAAGATCTTAGTGTTTCGAAATTTATCCGGATTAAATAAAAATTAGCGACAGCCTATCAAAAAAAAAGGTTTCTGACATCTTTTTCTAAGGTATTCTCGAAGCAAAATATCGTTTTTTGATAAGTTCGTTTCCCATATTTTGATATCAAGGATAATATATCAGAAATAAGACTGTATTTGTAGTTTTTTCAATGTACCTTAAATACAAGAAGCCCAAAGGCCTAAAGCAAATATAAAACTCCTAAAATTTTAAAACTGACATTTCACAAGACATCTTTTAGCGAATATCTGAGATTTGTATGATAGGTTTATGATATTCGAATTCAATTGGTCAAACAATTTTCTCCTTTATTATCACGCATACCAAATAAACTATCCACCTAAAGGACCGCAGTAGATTCTTTAATGATGACAAACTTTGTCCAGTAAGACAGAATTTTCGTGGTACCGGTTTAGAATCTGATAAGCCTTTGTATTGTCTCACTTTTCACCAATTTTCATATTTTGTTCAATTCGTTTCCCTTGACAGTGTTGGTTAGTTTTAGAACAAGTTAAAATTTGTTTTTCAACTTTCCCCAGATTTACCTGCGGGTAAAAAAAAAACGCTACTCACATCCTAGTCATTTGAAATAATGAGCATATAATCGATAAATTGTTTGACTTCCAAATTTGTTGGTCTCGAGACAATATTTTCTTAGACCTTACACATAAATTATCAAGCATGGTCGAACCAAACACAAAAATAACCCAAATTAAAGCATCTACAGATAAAACATTCCCACGCTTCAATTAAATATTAGAAAAAAATCCTTACTTTAGGTTGCATTGGTTCAGAATAATACAAGCTGTTGTGTCGCGATTGTCCTCCATTACAAATACTATTGAGTCGCAACTGTCCTCCATTGAGTAAACTGTTGTGTCGCAATGGTGCAACAGTATATAAACTGTTATGTCTGGACATTATAGATTTCTGTTTCGTATATAAGTTTTAACTTATTAATTTTGAATCCATGTTCTGGTTCTGACGTCATCAAACATGCTAAGACTGATACATAAACTTTTCTATCTCCAATTGTTCCATTCAATAGCTGTGTCTATTTTGTATTCCTTCACGGCAATTCAATTCATAAATGTGTACATGCATTTAGTGCTACTTCTTATTTGTTCAAGCTGTAGGTAAGACCCTCTCGTAAGAAATGATTAAAGAAGAACTCACCCAAAGTATGCAGATTTCGTGGCCAGATACTAGATCTTGTCTATATATATTTGTCACAAAATGATGGATTTGATTTATTGTTTTGGCATGCAATGAACTCAAAGATGGTTACAACATATAAATTAATTAAGCTTGATACAAGCATAAAAGAGTTTCACACTTCTGCAACTCGTCCCGTGATTACTTGTGACAATAAGAAATGGACGGACCGGAAAATCCCCATTCATAAAAATATATAGACAGATGTTTCGTGTACGGTAACGATCAACACCAATTATTCTAATGCAAAACGAAAGAAAACGTTTGATTGTTTATTTAACTTGTATGAATTCCCCGTTGAATAATTAATATATATCTTTTTTTTTTAATTCATAATAAGGTGTACTATATGTAGCCAAAAAGCATTAAAACTTAGTTCATTTTCTTATTGTAACATTATATATACAAGAAAAAATAGGTTTCACTACACGTTGTTTTGTCAAGACATTGTATATAAATAAAATTTGAAAACAAAATATTTAAAGATGACAGACAGTGC